AGGGAAGGAAAGGGGAAGAAGTAGGGGGGGGGGGGGGGGGAGGGCAGAGGAAGGGGGGAGGTTGTATGCATGCGGCTGGGATGATGGGTGTTGATGTTGGGTGAGTGATTGTGCGCATATTCTTCCGTCAAGATGCTGCTGGCCTGCTTCAACTCCCGTGCTGTAGAGTGGTATGTCGTGGAAGTGTGTCTGTCGAAAAGGAGGGGTACAGTACGGTAGTATCCGATGCCTGGTTTTTGGTGGTGGGTAGTATTCCGTGCCCGTTGGGTGGTCGTTGCATATAGCCGTTGCGGCCCGATAGACTACGTAGATACCATACGTCTTCTTCTGTGTTTCTGTCCCTTCTGTGGCGGCATCCACCACGCGCGCACCTTTGTATGAGGCGCTGCCACAGCATTACTGGGGAAAACGTTCTTCGGAGTGTAGTTCGATGGAGAGAGTCGAGTCGAGCGTGGGACACACCGTTTGTCGCCGTTGATAGGCTGACTACTTCGTATGCCTGGCAGTGGGCGGTATCACCACCGAGCCGATCCCTTACACCGCGTTGGTTTCGGGCGAAAAACGACGTATTTTACCAAAAAAACTCTTGTACAGAACTATCCCCTCACAGTAGTGCGTGGTTGAGTTCCTCCTTGTAATTCTCACTCGATAGGCTACGGTCGTTGCGATCCTTTTTTTATTTTTTTTATACCCCGGCTGTCCTTCTCGCACCACACCACCCCACTACAGTTGGGAAGAAGAGTCTCCAGGAGGAAGACACGATAAACGGGCAAGGAGGCGCATGCCGATGATGGACCTACTACATGCACCTGCACCGCGCGACTACACTCACCTCTCCCGCCACTATCACCCCATCACCACGCCAACTTTGAGCTTGGGACCCCGGATCCGGGGCAATACCTATTCTCGTCAGAGTCGATACCTTTTCTCGAGCGGGACACTGACTTTTTCTCGTACATACGGGTCAGCATCTTTTCTCGTTCGGGTCAAAACCCTAACCTTTTGTGGCACGGGTCAACACCTTTTCTCGCCCGGGTCAATACCTTTTCTCTCGCACGGGTGGATACCTTTTGTCTCATTCGGACAATGGCGCTGCTTCATCCCGACCGGTTGCTGTGTCCACACTGACTGTACGCCCCTCGCTGTCGTTTTGACCGCCCGGTTCATTCTACAATCGCTCAGGATGAACCGGCGACATTTTCTTAGATTGCAACGCGCCGTTCTGCCACTTGAAACGTTCCCCAGAGCAAGCTTTTATACGCGTGGTGTGTGTGTCTTTACTACTAGCATCGACCGCGCTAATCGGCTGCCCAATGAAAGGACGGTGTGCGTGTTTTTTTTTTTTTTGCCGTCGGGGTTCCGAAGAAAGCACTGTCATCCGGCAAGCTAGCCCAACCGCTGCAGTGGTGTTGACCTTCTTCCTTCAAGTTGAAGACAGGCGGAGAGGAGGACACAATAGCTCCGCAAGCACGCGGCATCATCGTAAGTCAGCGGCGCTCGGCGTACAGACGGGTTGTACGAGCCTCGGAGCAGGAGCGTGGGATCTTTCGTTGCCCGCGACGCTGTACTACTTTAGCTTCTTGCACGTGTCATGCGGATTGGAACAATCAACGCCGTTCAACTCACACCGCAAAAAAAAAAAAAACAGCGTTTTCACAAGTTGTAAAACCTGAGGGCGCGAGAGGCGACTACTTCGACCACGACAATCATTTCGAAGCGCCTCGTACAGACAGTCCGAGAGGAACTCCACCGACTCTCGATGGGCATTTTCACCGCCAGACATTGAACGGAACCCTCCAAGTTTCCCCGGTCAACGGCGGGCACCACCTCTCCCACTGCAGGAGGTTCTTTCGACTTCCATTACCAATACTAATGTAGGAGGTCTTTCGACGGGGCTACGAGGCATTGTCCTTCCGTTGCCTACGGTTAGGCGGGCACGACGCAGGGGGGCAGAAGAGACGGGGGGCGTGCTCCCAAAATTCAATACGCTGGGACAAGAGGGGCTCGCGACAGGGGGGCAGAAGAGACCGGGGGCGTGCTCCCCAAAATCAATACGCCGAGAAAAGAGCGGGGGCTCGCGACAACCGAGGTAGGTAGCGCCAAATCTCCTTCGAAGTCACAAAAAACACAACTGCTGTCTGACCGCTGTCCAGCAGCCCCGATTCCACGCCATGAGGGGGCGCACATCCTAAACGCCCCCCCACCCCGACCGAACGCCTCAAAAACGCATCGTACACCTGTGACCGGCTCGACACAACTACGCCAGCACCACATCGCCATCACCTCCTCCGTTTCTTGGAGGCCGGGTGCCCCCCCCCCGCCGCCCCGCGTCGCCCCTTGACGGCGTCCTTGTGCTTGCGCTTGAAGTCCTGAGTCAGCGCCCGCCGCTCCCCGAGCCACGCCGCCTCCACGTCCTCCCTCTTGCCGGTCCTCATGAACCTAGCGGC